AGGCCTCTGTCATTAATTTAGTCATAAAAGGCCCACTATATTTTAAAGCTCCAGCCCCATGTCGCTGGAAATTCTGCATCTTGTAGAACCAGAACTTTGGACTCATCAGATTAAATGCTTTGTTTAGGTCAGAAAAGGGTTTGTGTTCATTTGTCAATTTGCCGCTGAAGTGAATGCCTTAAACAGAAGCCTGGCATTATCTGCTTGACAATGATTTGATGCTGCTCCATGTCATGCTGGAAATTAGTGACTAGAACCAGAATGTTAATCACAGGGACCTCTATACATTGATGGCATAAATAGCATGCTTCTGTATAAAAAAATCTATAGTGACTCATTCCTATTTAAATAAAAATCTCTCTTTGCTATTTCAGTGAACCGAATGACTGACTCTGGGCACTTTTCTCTGTGCTCTAGGGTGAGCCCATTTAACCTCACAAAAACTGCTAGCTCTGTTAGAATTAGCTCTGTTATTTCCTTAGGCTCTCAGAGATCTCAAAGTGATTCTGTCCCCACGACCAGAGGTAGATGTTGGTTCCTCCAGCTACTGACTCAGTAAATATGAACTACTCTTCAAGGCACCATAAACATGTCATCTTATTAGGTGTGATGATGTTTTTCAAACAGAGCCCCCAGGAGCATCAATTCTTCATAATAACATTATGAAAAACATGGTTCTATGTACAATAAGTGTAGAAAATGATTGGAAATTGTTAATAAATTAGTGGTTTCTGAACTGTAAGACTCTTCAGTCTTTCTATCTAATAAAAGAATTGTGTTTTTTATCCAGATGATTTCACAAAATATTCTGTTTCATGGAGTAATTTGTGAGACATTTTCTAAAGAATATATTGTGGTAAATGTTCGACTTTAGTGACCATATGCTAAGACTTGAATTAAAAACTGCTCCATCACCTACCAATCATGAGATGACAGGCAGGTGGATCTATGCTGGACCTCAAATTTCTCATCTGAAAAATGAGAAGGATGATGCTTCCTCTTGCAATAGTTTGTGATAATTATAAATGTTAGACTAATAAATGTTTTTCAAGGTGGCAGAATATGGTCAGTGGATAATAAACTACTTTGGGGGGACTATTCTAATTTTTACTTTTTCTTAATCGCCTTTGTGTTGCTTCTTTACTTCCTTTTCTTTCCTCTATCCCTGACTTTTATTACTATGGCCACTATTACTAGTAGGTACTACCAGTTTCTGTGGCAGACACAATTCATTGGCTTTTCCAGTGAGTACTGTCATCCCTTTTCCCATGCAGTTTCCATTGAAGAGTCTGACAAGGCTAAGTGCACACTTTCCCGTGGTCCTATTGCAGCTCTTTAAGACACTCTCAAACAATGAGATAGAAGGGCATTCTCCTAATAAAAAGGATGCATTTCATAGCCATGACAGCTATATTGCAGCCATCAGCCAAGAGAATGGGAGAGGTGCTGGCACTGGCATCTCTAAGCCAACATCACATGCTGGGCCTCCATGCTTCTTGTACCATAAAGAATATGAAACTCAAACAAATTGTATCTTAAAATAGGTTTTCTTAAAATAGATTTAATAGCCTCTTAAAATAGGTTTTCTCTTCCTCACAGTTAAATCTGATTTTAAAGGTTTAGCTATAATATATTAAGTAATTTTTATGTGCTGCTACTAAGCACTTAGTGCATCATACCTCTTTTAATCCTCAAAACAGGAATGATGTGCAGTTATTACTAACACTCACATTCATTTATTCCCCATTATTTAAGTTCCAATGCGACAGATAATGTGATACACACAGACATATATGCAATTGCAAATTTGAAGTGGAGGTAAAATTCTAGCATAACTAGTGATATCCTACAATGTGATAAATGCTAGACTAGCACTTTGAACATATTGATTTTGTGTCATAGAGAAGAAATATTTAGATTAGGGGCTTATGGAAACCATCGAGGAAAGGATGTTTAGTTTCATCTCTCTCTGTGGACTGCAGCTTAAAAGAGCAACAGGAATGTATGTGATGCAAGAGGATGATCTCTTTCTCTGCCCTATCTTTTATCCATATCAACAGCAGGTTCCAGCCTACATATCTTAATTAATGGCCAAAAAAATCTCTACATAATTAGATTGTAATGTCTCTCGGTTATAATCATGTAGATGGGCTGAGGTTTATTCAAGATCATAAAAAAGAAAACCCATAAACTATCAAAAGTCCCTCCTTGCCCTTTTTGAGATTTTAATACTCAAATGTACTGATTACAATATCTGATCATCAGGAACTACAGGGCAAGTTAAAACATTGTCATAAAATCCTCAAAAATTTTGTTTCCATTAGCACTATCAGTAAAATCTGTTGTTTTTGTTTGTGCTTTTGTTTACCAACATAGAAACAAAATAGTCGAAAATATTGATCAAGTGTTACTAGGAGAACATGATATCTAATATGATCAGTGACCCAATTCTTGAGCAGAGACTGATGACTACAAATGCATGAGGGATATTGCAATACAGTACAGTGCAGACTTAATCTAATAACAGTTAATAGAATCACTGAGGAGTAGTATGTACACTTAGAGAGAAGCAAAACCAAAAATACCTACTATATAACCACTTTCTGAAATTCATTCATTCATCAAACATACCAATGAATTGAGTATCTTCTATGTATGATGCACCCTTCTAGGTATAGGTAGGCATTGAGGACACAGTGATGAGTACTGTGGACAAGATCCCACTTTCAAGGAGCTAACCACTGCTTAAGCTGAAACACGAGTGTGCTAGGCATTTTGGTAAGGAATAGACCTTGCAAAGATGGAGATGCCCTGAGAAATTCAGACGAATAGGCAAAGCCTCTACAGATATGTATTGCCTTTATGAAGGTCTTTTCATTATTAATATCATCTTCTTGCTTACATTTCTGACACAATGACTTTCAGGTATGAAGGAATGCTGACAACTGTCAACTGTCAAGTTAAAATAACATACTTAAGAATTACTATGTGGCAGATATTACATGTATTAGTTTTAGTCCTCACAAACACTCTACAAAGTATGTATTTCATGATCCTCATTTAACAGAGGTGGGGATTGAGACAGAGAGAGATTATGTGAAGTTGCCTAAGATTACACTGATGGTAGTTGATGTTGCCAGGATACAAGTACAGTGCTGCACAGCATTCTGCTACCTTGAGTAAAGTATCTATCAGCTGTCAAACCTTTACAGACATTATCTCCTTAATTATTTATAGTCCTCTGAAGTCAGTGATTCCGATTTATCAGATGAAAAAATTAAGGTGCAGAGAGAGGAAATGCCAGTGCCAGTGTTCAAACTAAGGACAACATGTTACACAACCAGTGTTCTTTGCCATTACTTCAAGCTATCTCTCTAAAGAGCCTTCCCTGATGAGTTCTTGGGAGTGCTGAGAAAGAGACTCACAATTCCTCCCTATGCCAAATTGTCTGTTTTCGATATCTCCTAGACTTCCCTGGAAGATTTTGTTTGAATAAAGGGTGATAAAATAAAAGTTTGGGAAATATTTTCTTGGCCAAAAATGAAAAGCTGATCCTGCCGAAGTTTAGGAAAAGAATGTTTCATAGAGGAGTCAGGAAGATGGATAGAAAATGTGCTGGAAGGTTAGGTATATGGAAGGTCTTCTGTGTACAAACCACAGCATTGCTGGGATTTATTGAAGAAGGGAAAGATACAATTTATGATTTGATGGATATCTTGCACAATGTGCAAGGAAAGAGATGAGAAGCAGAAAAAGGAAGGAATTGAATGAGGTATGGGTAAAAGTTTATAATACAAATAATTGGGCCTCATGGATAAACTTCTTCAAGTATCCTGTGAATCGTTTCCAAACCTTGATGGAGGCAGTATCTTTACCATCACATAATTCATGCTTTGAAAAAGTAGGGCAACTGAAAAGTAGGATTTTCATGCAGGATAAATGATGGTATAGGAGACTAGTTCAAGCAATATTGTTTAGAGATCTATCTTCCATTCAAAAGATATTTATCTTCCGTTATATTTATCCAGCTTTTAGAAATACTGTTAAATCCTAGTAGATTTTTTGGGACTGATGCCCTGACTAGCTTTTTTGATGTGGTGCTTCTTAAAGAGAGGAAATCTTTATTCCCAATCTATGGATCTGTGGAATAAGAAGTTCCTTGTCAACAATCTATGTAGCCTTTTTAATACCTTGAAATTTTTTCTCAAGCCACTGATAATATGATCTCAATGTCATTTAACATGTCGGGTCAGTAATAACATAAGAAAGACCCTAACAGCATGGAAATTGTTTATTGGCTATTGCATCTAGATTGCTTTCAGACAGAAATCACCTAATAGTTGCTGTTCATGATAGTGAACTTAAGAGTGTGATGGGACAACAGGTAAAAGAGAATTGGGAAATTGATGAGTTAAAAGAGTTATATGCAAAGTTATTTGGTTGTTTTTGCTATTTTCAGCTACTCATTTTTCAAAGAGTGCCACTTACCTATTAAAAACTAAAATGTAATTATATCTTCAAGTCTTTATGGGATGAGCAGTTGAGAGCTCCTCTCAGTTTCAATAAAGGTTCAGGCACATTCAAGTGCTGTCAGATGCATAAGACTCTTGGCACTTTGCTCTTAGGATAATATTTATTCACAATAATCTTCTCTAGTCTTGTGAGTTAAAATTTAGTTGTTAATATATCTTTGTGCCCTCAGGACCTGGAGATCTTTTTCTTGGCCCAGTGATTTTACTCCGCTTTCCCTGAACTCACTCTGCTTTGGCTATACCTTTTTGCTTTATCTGCAATCTCAACTTCCATATGTTTTATCTTTGGCCCAAATAAGTGGACTTGCATTTTATTAACCTCACAAAAACCATTCAATGAATAGGTCCCAAGCCCTAAGGCACTCTTCCCCCCATTGCTTCATTCACTCGGGTGTCTCCATATTAAGAAGGCAAATGCCGCTGCTTCCCGTGTAGCAGTGCACCCCACTGTGCCCCCACACATTTTACCTTAGGGTTTCCCCAGAAGAGCCCCTCCTCTTCCACAGGTTGACTAGGCTGCTGGATCTGCTGGCTGCGGAGGACGACTTGCCATCCCCTACATGCATGCGCACCACGGTAGACGTGGTGAAGGCGCTGCGCACGTTTCTCTCCGGTTTGGCCAGAATGATATACACCTTCGGCACAAACATGCAGCCTAGGGCCACTGTGGCACTGAGGCTAACTGAGAAACACATGGTGATGATTTTGTAGTTGCTGCCAAAGTAGATTGGCACAAAGGCCAGCCATATAATGCAGGTGGTGTACATTGTGAAGGCGATATACTTGGCCTCGTTGAAGTTAGCTGGAACATTCCTGGTCTTGAATGCATAGAAGGTACAGCTCAGAATCAACAATCCATTGTATCCAAGAGGAGTGACAACTCCCAGGTTGGTGGTGTTACAAATCAGGTAGACTTCTCGAATGCTTGGATAGTCATGCATTATATCCGGAGGCTCCATTATAAAAAGGGCCACAATAATGCCCAACTGGATACATATGAGAATGAAAGCAATCACCAACTGGGCACAGGCACTCATGAATCTGGGCTTTTTGGTACAGATCTTCTTCTTGCTGCCAGCCAGGATCCTCGCGATGCGGTTGGTCTTGGTTACTAGGGCTGAGTAGCTCATGGCTGGAGACAGACCAATGCCAATTCTCTGAAGATAGCAATAAATCTGTTTGGGCTTCGCAATGAGGCAGAAGGTACATAAATAGCCCAGGCAGATACCAGCAAGAATAATGTAGCAGAGTTCCCTGCTGGAGGACTTGACTACTGGAGTATCACGATAAATGATGAAGACTACAGTAACAAACAGGGTGGCCAGCAGGCCGAGGCAGGCAAACACCACAGCTGCAATGGGCTCAGGGTCACCCCAGCGAAGATACTGTACTGGGATCAAATCACAACCTGCAGAGACACAGACACATGTTGAAAAAAGGGAGAGAACTTTACTTGGTTTGCAGATCCTTAAGGTAAAAGCAGCTGCTTATGAATATTTCAGTGTATCTCTCATCTACCTTTCTAACTTTGGTGTTTTTAAATTCATTTAAAAATTCAATCAGAAAATCTTTCTATTATTGACTACATACTGGGTGTTAAGAGCTGTTCTAGGTTGTGAAACAAAATAATGATAATCATATTCCTTGCCCTCATACAAATATTTGAGACCCTTTTAGCAGTGTCCAGCATAGAGTAGGTACCTGAATAGTATTTTTTTGAATGAACAGATGAATATTTCTACCTCTTTTTTTCTCACTTGCAGCATCCTTGCTGAGAATAATATGACCGGAGGGTTGCATTGATACAGAATGACGTTAATTTATCGGTTTAGAGACTGACAATTGACTCTTAACTCCAGTAGAGAAAGGTAAACAACTCACAACCATGAGAATTGTCTCCACTCACAAACCTTTTTGTGTACTCAAGACATGCAGTTTTTTATATTACTTCATTATGTAGAAGAAAAATATGATAGAATATGGCATCATTTAGGTTATCTGTCATCTTTTTAAATTTATTTAGGACAGTGATTCTCAAACCTGGATGCATTCAGGAATCACCTAGAGATTTAAAAAAAAATACTGAGGTCTGTTTCATTGCTGAAGTTTCTGACTTAATTGGATTGGGAATTGTCTGGGCATTGTAATTTTTGAAATACCCTCCAAGTGCTGTTAGTGTGCATCACTAACCCTATTTTTATGTCAGTTGAGAACCATTGCTCTAGAACAATTATTACCATAATATAAAGGGTTTTTTTTAATTGAATTGAGATAATAGCTTCATTGAGTAGAAAAGGAGGCAAGAAACCAGGACCATGAACATTGAGGGAATATGGCAGAAATTACTAATTGACTGTAAGGATCCATTTTTCCCTTTTCTCACAGCAACAGATACACAATTTTATTTTGGATGATAAAGGATGCAACTCAAATACAATGTTCTCCAGCAACCATTGCTGTCAAATGTGGCAGATGTATAGGTTTTAGCAAATAAGTTGTAAAGAGAGGATTCCTTAAAGGAAAATGATTCATCTTGGAGAGGACACACTTCACATTTTCTTGTTTCTTTCATCTGCTTCCTAGAACATAAAGGATATGTCTGGACCTCCAGCAATTACCTTACTCTTTGAAGTAATGTTAAGGATAAAAAATATTTTCTGGGTTTGAAAGAGAAGCTCTGGGGGAGGGGGGGCAAATTCCTGATAACCATGAAACCGGTTATTAGCTCTGGATTATGTATGTGCATACCTCCTTTGCCTAAAGTTACTTCACTTATTTTGTGATATATATGGAGCCAAACAAAATATTAATTGATATAAAGTAGGGTTTTCCTATCACCTTGCCATTTCCCCTGATTGGGGTGTTGCCATGTCTTTGAATATCAATGGTAACTGGGAGTTAGGGAAGACAACACCACCTATTGATGATCAAGAAGAATGTGATTTTTCCAAAATATGCCCGTGGGCAGCTCTGTTACAGAAAGGAAATAAAGGAAATTTTTTTTATTATTATTATTATTTCTGTCCCTTTGGTCTCCTACCTCAAGATCTCATGTTCCAGATAATAGCATTAGTATTATAGTTAAGTATTATGGTTAAATTCATTAAGGATTCAATAAGAGTTGTGAGTTAGCTTGAGCTCCTCAACACATTTTGAAAAATTGGTCCTATAGAAAAATGTATTCTTATTCTTATTCTAATTAAGTGTGCATTTAGTATTGAAACAAAGTTCTCTTAGCTTTTTAAAATTTTGAGGATATCCCAGACAAAACACAAGATAATTATTAAGTATAACATCATTAATTATAAATAAATGCATATGTTACTGCTAATTAATATATCAGTATCTATATTTTAAGATATCCATGTCCATATGTGATGCTTATATGCTAAAATACAATCTCTGATGCCTTAGTAGGCTATAGAGCTTAGGTTTATATTTAAAAATTTGTTCCTTATAGAAAATATTTTATAAAGAGAAAAATTAATCATTCTTATCTTTATTCTTGTAGCATTATTTGACAATCAAATTTATTATCTACTGCAGTTAATTATGTAGAGACTTGTTTCCACTGGTAAATCATAAACTACTAATATCCACAATAATTTACTGGTATAGGAAATATCATGGGTAGAAGTGGTGTGAGGCAGGAGTACTTTCATTAGCTAAAATAATCTACTAAAAACATCAATATTTACTTTAAAGACTTTACTTTTACCCCTTTGTTCTGCTAAATTTTAATTGCTTACATCTAAATACAATTAGCATCTTAATTTCTAAATGTTTTGCACAGGATATTTTTATGTCAGATATATTCTTGAACTCTTCACGTGCAACCAATTAACATTACGTGTGAAACTAAAGAAAGCTCATTAGATGTATGTGTTGGGAAAAATATGCATGAGACATGCCTCTAATGTGATGCTATTATTTTCACAAGTTTACCAGAATTTATTCATTCAAATGAATTTTTTTCATTTAATGCAAAACACTGAGAAAGATTTATGTTTGGTTTTCACAAAGCTAAACTGCTATTGCACAAAATACTTTTTATAATTATTCCCTGTGAATAGCAAATTAGACTCTTACTAGAATGCTATAATCACTGAATCTTATAATTGAATGATATCTTAGAGTTTCCAAAAAATAGATATGTATCACATACTTGCAGGAGATCACAAAAATAAAATTCTGGGGTCTAAACTCAGGAGATTTTGAGTCAGTATTTTGTGGTGGGGCAAAGGAATTGTCTTTTGAATAAGCAACCTCAGTGTCTGTAGAGGTAGTCCTGAGTCCTTGATTGGCAACTCAATCTTAGAGATTATTAAATTGACCTCATTCAGTATGTGAATGTCTTATGGGCTACCTTTGAGAGGTGGTAAACCTGGCTTCACTTAAGGCTTTTCATGAGCTAAGACTAATAGCAGTGATGGAAAAGCAGGAGTCCACAGTGGCAGCAAGAGACTGAAGAAAGCCTAGTCTGAAAGCTATCACAACAAGGCAGTCAAAGATGATTAAGATGGAAACTTAGTCACTGTACTGGGGAAATTAACTGTAAAGAAATTTCAGAAGCAGGATTGAAAGAAATTATAAAGTACACAGGAGATTCAAGGAGAGTGGCTTCAAACTGAGTTGATGGTAATGTTATCAATTAAGATGAGGACCACAGAAAGAAAATTGCTCTGGTTTGGATTTGTTATGTTTGAAGTGTCTATGACCAAGTGAGCATATGGAAACAGAGGCTTAGGTGAGACATTAGGGTAGAAGTTATAGCTTTAGGAACCATCTGTTTAAACATAGAAATAGAAGACATGGCCAGGCGTGGTGGCACATGCCTATAATTCCAGAGGCTCAGAAGGTTCAGGCAGGAAGATCACAAGTTCAAAGCCAACCTCTGCAATTTAGTGAGACCCTGAGCAAGTTAACAAGCAAGACCCTGTCTCAAAACCATAAATAAATAAATAAATAAGTTGGGGATGTGACTCAGTGGTTAAATATCCATGTTTAATCCTTAGTACCGAAAACAAATGAACAAATAAACAAAAACAGATAGTTTAATAGGTTAACTTTAACAGTGAAGTTTCAGTTTTTCTTTTCTTTATCCTCACCCAAATATCATGTATGCAGCATCAATTGTTAGCTTTACCAATATCTTCCCAAGGAGTATATCATTATGTTTTCCTGTCAACTCTGACATCTATTTGTTTTGAATGAGGAGTAGTGTTTTTCCTAAGTTGGAACATACATACATACATACATACATACATACATACAAAGCTCAGAATCTTGAGATAATGCTGATTTATTATGATACAAATTTAAATGCCATTTATTATCCCACTTTCTACAGCACTGGTCAGCAAACATCTGAATACCTAGTTATTCTTTTTCAGTTTCTTCTTTATTTTCTTCTAATTACTGGACATTTTTCATAAATAGTTTTTTTTTATCCCTTGCTTTATTCTTGGTATAATGGTAAATTTCTAGAAGTATATTTAGAGGCTAGGAATCTTAATTGTATACATTTTATAGTTTTCTTATGTATTTAATTAATATAGCATATGTTATTGTAGTTTATGCTAAATAATCTTGAACATGGTAATGAAGTTTCATCTAACAAATATTTTGTGATCATCAGAAGATATACATTAACATTCTTTTCTAGAAATGTATTTGAACCACAGACTAGAAAGCCATATCCTGCATTCTGATAGCATTCATTTAAGTAGATGTTCATATCTCACTTTCTCTCCCTTTCATGCTTGATTCATAATTTTATGGTTCTTTAGAATTATCCATCATTTCATAGTGTGAAGTGAGTGACATACATTGCAAATATAAATGCTTGTTTTATATTTGGGGGAACGTGGGCTGCCAAAACCACTGTCCATATTCATCACATGATTCCACCAATCTGTTCCCCATACCTCTAATAACAGAATAGACAACTCACTGATTTTCTGAATCCCTGAAAACAATGTGACTGCTCACTTACAGCTGGTACTCATGCTTAGTGTTTTGATATTAGTCCTACACAATGAATATTCCTCTAGTCAATAGTTCTGAGATGCTGCATTTTCAAATCCTGTTCTAAGTGTCTGTTCAGGCAGAGGGAATGAAGGACAGATGCCTGACATTCTACAAGTCAGGCTGAGCAGGAACTCCTTAACAAGCTCTGTAACATCTATGTATTTTGGGGTAAAGGAAGTTGCTGCTGAGAATCTGTGAGAATAAGATGTATGTGTTCTCAGATGTTGATCAGACCATTTCAGGGGTACAATTGATAAGGGACTATGGAGACTACCTCTGCTACATAAGCAGTGGAACTGCCCAAAGCACAGGACTGATGACTTAGAAACAGCATGCTTGCTTTCAAACTGCTCCACCAGCAACCATTTGTCTGCCTTT